ATTTTCCCTGTCGCCGTCCGGCGGCCCGCTCGGGGCGTATCGACGTTCTCCCAGTGGGAAGCGAGGGAAGCCACGACCACGGACCCCACGGGCTATGGCCCCCGCAGACCCTTAAAACAATCATTGCCCCGTGTTCCGCCCACGGCACCACGTCCTAATGCAAAATAGGGCGCGGCCGCAGTGCAGCCACGTAAACAATTTGTAATTGCACAACAGGCAATCCCGCGAATACAACACACTCCCACATGATTCCATCGCGGTCTCGCGTCCTTGAACGGGGCTTGATAAATAAAACAGGAAAAGAGAAGTAGAATAAAAATTAAAAAAATAGAGTTGGGGGACAGCGGGGCTGCTGGCGCCACGCCAGTCCCGCGGATCAGGTCTGTCGCCGCCCCTGTAAACAAAACCGAAGGGGATAGCCCTGGCGGCCCTCCACCCCACCGGTTCCTTCCGTGATGCTTCGCTGTAGTTGCTGCGTCGATGCCCTACCGAGCTCGATCCCCGAACCTCCATAGCGTGAGCCCAATGTCATAACCTATAGGGCTAAGCCCAAGCCTGGTACCGGCAGTAACAGAATCCTAAATAAAGTGGTACGGCGCGGTTGTCCCGGGTCGCGAAAGCGGTCTGTGCCACTCCTCAGCCTATGCCGACGCGCGCGGCCATCGAAAGTTCGTGCCGCGGCTGTCCATGTTTGGCTGTATCCATCAGGTCCCATCATCTGGATCCACCGCATGTCCGTATATGCTCACTTAATCAAAAATGAAATAATATTTAATATCACCTAAGCAAAACGACCGAGGTCCGAGCCGACTCTTACGATCAACAACATAAAAGAATCACGGGCGCCTTAAACCTGCGCGCTCACACACCCGCTATTGTGGTCAACCACCTTGTCAACGCAATCACAAACGCAGTCGCGCTTAGCGCGATATACTTAAACTTTAAGCCAAACAATTTTCTGTTACTTGCAAAAACCAGGGCGGATACCCTTGTAAGGGTATTCGCACCGACAGCCTTACCGGACCATATTAAGCGACGTCCCCGTCGCTTCGCCAAATCTGAAAGCTATAAATCCATTCACACTCCAAATGCTGACGAAAGAGGTGAGCCAATCCAATTAGCCGACAAACACAGGGTAGAGGCCTCCATCAAACCATGCCTCCACAACTATATGCTGCCAGGTTTCTAACCTGGGCCTCACACCGTCCAGAAATTAGGACACTGGCAGCATAAGTTCCAAAGACCTTTCCAATCGTCATCTCCCCGGTCCTAGACAACCTTCGGCTTCTCGTTGGGTGTCCCTAGTCCTGATAAAAACTAGGGACGTGGGCCTTAACCGAGACCTTTGAAGGCACTCTCGCCTTCCTTCTCAAAATCTCTCGCAATCAAATACATATAAGTATATATGTAAACTTAATATCCACTCCGCTCTTTCTGCAGTCTAGTACAGAAAGGCCAGGTCTCCATCTTGGCCCACCATAGCCTGGTTGATCGGACCAGGGCTACGGCCTACCGCATTGTTATTTAACGGCAGTACCCTCGTTGGTTACTCAACGATAGCGTTTCTCCTGATAGGCACTCAATCAGGACCTCCCAAAATCTCAACCTTCACTATCCCACAGAGTAATTTCCCTGGGGCGGGTAACTCCCCTTAAACTCTTTCCCCGCGGTCCCGCAACCAGGTTGCGCTGGTTAGCAGCCATCCAATGAGGTTACGCCCTAGAGGTACTAGCTTCTTTTCCGTTAGCTTGGCCTTTCTTCAATATGTCTCAGAATTAGCACTAGTGGTTAAACGGGTGCGTCAAAACAAAATCACAGGCCCACTGCGCGATACGCAGGGCTCCGAAGGCATTTACCAGTCCTCATTCAATAGGCATGGCCTCCTTCGCACGCTTACAAGCAAAATCACCGCTAAATCCACCAAGCCGTGACCCCTGACTTGATCAGAGTCAGCAGTCACCCACCCTGAGACATCTCTCGCCCTGTACTCATTGCGACTTTCTCAAATATTTCAAACAAAAAGTGGCCCCTTTCCATCAGACTTTATCACCCATCGAACAACTCGTCATGCCATAAATCAATTTACTCACTTCTGATGATGAGTCTTCCAACCAAAAACCACTCCCCTTTTCCAACAATCCAAAAGGGACTCTCTTCATAAACAAAACACCCCCTCTTCCAAAAATCGCGAGGGGTCTCGCCAGAAAACAATACATTCCCTCTTCCAGAAATCACGAGGGTCTCATCATAAATCAAACACCCCCTGTCTCAAAGTCACGAGGGGTTTCGTTACATCACAAAACATCATGAAACATCCCCTCCCTTTTCCAAAATCTAAGGGGGTCCCATCATAAAACAGAACATCACTGAGAGACCATCTTATGGGTCCTCATCACAACTTAGATAACTTTCACAGACGGACTGCGCTTCCTCCCCTTATACTCTGCCTTATCAGCTGCCGTGGGCAGGTCGCACAAGTATACCGAGGAGTAGACAATTTTACTTACAATCATATTCACATACCGAAGATACATAAAAGGTTTTTCACACATTGTCCACACAAACTCATCATACATCAGAGTACAACCACACATGTGAGAAAGACAAGTGATCGTCACATATAAGAATGTTCCCTGAAGGAAACCTCATCATAATATACACTCAGGGAATGCAATATCTCATACAGAAAGTGTCTCCAAATCATAGCTTGCTCAACTCAAGCCACACCAAACCCACACTGACAACTACCCTTAGAATACATGTCAGATCTGTCTCTCAAAGGCAGGGCGTAGGCCACCTAAATATGTACATGCCTCATCTAAACCACCCTGACCCTCAAAACCCCAACTCAGTAGAAACACTAGAGTTCAGATCTAGATTAACGGTAATCATCAAAATGTCTTCTAAGTCTAAGAGAGTATCACACAGAACCTAAGTTGATGCCTCACAAAATGCTCGCTCGCTTATATAGATAAGGCCGGCCCTACCTCCTCAACTCCTCCTGATTTTGCCTATATAATTGAGCCCGAAGTCCATCTGCGGACTTCTCTACAATCCTACCCTATCTATTATACATTTTACCCCCTACCTCTAAGATCTTCCCTGCTACCTTATCCTCAAGAAACTCGAGACAGTCCAAAGCATGATGCGCGCTCCTCTTGCAGTAGAAACATAGTTGATCAACCTTCCTCTTGAACTTCTTCTTCCTGGGCTGAGGAGGTGGTGATGAAGGAGATCCTGCCAAGGTACTGATAACCCCCTGCAGCTCTGCTTGAGGAGCTGCGGTACCAACGACTTCCTGCCGCTCTGTCCCCGGAACTGGTCCACCAGACCGAGATCCAGTAGCCCAAAATCCTAGTCTGCCTCTCAAATCCTCTGTCGCTGGAACGTACTCTGGCGTGTCCAACCTCTGAGGCCTCCTCTCGAGTGCCGCCCCTGGCACTGCCGTGGGCTGCTCCTCAATCTCCTCTGGTCCATACTCAGGTGTGCCTATCCTCTGGAGTCTGCCCTCGATGGCACCCTCCTCCTCAATCCCCATCTCTCTCTCAAGAGGCTCCTCTATCCTCTGCTCAGGTGAAAACAAACTCACCTCCTCCTGCATAGTATGCACCATCTCAAGGAGCACGCCCATGGATCCCTCTGCCGAACCCTGAGCCGGCTCACTGCTAGATGGTGGCAGCCCCTCATCTACTGCCAAAGGTACGACTGGGCCTGCCGCCGCCACCGGCAGCGTCGCGAGCTCAGTAGGGGCTCTAAACTCGAACGTCTCTCTCTCTGCCTGTCTCTGGGCTCTCGCCTCCTCTGGCTCCAGGATAACTCTCCCCATAGGCGGCTCCTGACGAGGCTCTGTCGCAGATGGCTGTCCTGGCAATCCCTGTCCTGGCTGCCTCTGCTCTCCCTGCCGGCTGCT